ACGGCTCGGCTCTGATTGATTCAGTGCTAATGGAGGGTTTTTTTTCTTTGACCCATCACTTTTCATCTGCAGACGAATTTCCCCTCAGCTGCACAAACCCAACTCTCTCCAGTTTGTGTTTATTCCTGACAGGTGGGCAGATTGCAGCTGCTTTCTTCACTTGAACATGATGTCTTATTGCCATTACCTAATTCTCCCCTCAGTCATCATCTTCTGGCTCAGTGAAAAGGATGAATACCTCTCCCTCCTGGCTGTCAAGCCTAGCTGCACCCACACCTTCTCATGTTCTCTCACTTCTTCCAAAAGCACCTCGTTTTCTTCCTAAGTTTATGCACGCTCTTCAATCTCTGGGAGCTGCTGAGAAAGAAATGACAGAAAGAACACGGGCCAGATTTGAAGGACTTTTACATCACCACAGCCAGAATGGTCGTATCTGAGCCAGTAGACTAGACACAGCATGCACGGGCTAATAGATTTTTTTTTTTCCCCCTGTGTTTCAGTTTTTGGTACACGCTGTGATAAAACCTAACGCTGCAGAAATACACTGTGAAAAACATTATTGAAATGTTTGATGTCCATTTTTCTACATCCATTGTTCAAATAGAGAGCAGAGCAATAATCTGGTGATACGTTTACATTTCCAAACTTGTTATGAGGCAGTAGTGCTTTTATTTTCAACAGCATTATCACTTTATTTCTGACTGAAAGAACGTCCATAACAAATGTTTGTTTAAATTTAAATTTCTGGTGAGAAAGTGGGGCCCTGTGATATAATGATATAATTCAAATTAAATGATACAAAAATGATGCCCACTTTGTATTATCTTCAGACTAGATACAAGATTTATTTGAGGGCTGTCAAACAAGTTTAATTTCACATTTTTAATATGATTGAAGTGTGAATTGTGATTACTCAAGAAAATAAAACTATTTTTTTCCTTCATTGCTGGAACAGAAAGACAAATAACAGCAGGATATACAGATATGTGTTTCAAACCAGTTTTTATTTGTAACTTATTCAAATGATTGAATTATTTATATGGAAAAAGATAAAAAGTATAGCTCAACCATTGCGTCACATAGTTGGTGTGCATCTTGACGCTTGTAGTCGAGTCAAGAGTTGCTATCAAAATTCCCTTGAAGCCTCAACAATAGCAATCGGTCTCCATTAAACATTTTAACCTGATAGTTCTAATTAGGTTTAGTTCGTTTTCACTGCCCTGTTTTATTTATTTCTTTTTTTTCTCGTCTCCAAAGAAGAATGTGAGTGAGGGTTCAGACACTATAAAGAATCCTCTCAGTTTTTCTCCCCTTTCAGTGTTTTTCAGTTTCCACACTCCAGCAGATGAGAGCAGTTTATATACTGTATACACTGTTTACCCCATCACTCTTTTGCTCTTGTCACAAAATGCTGATTTACGGAGCCCACTTTCATGTTTTTACTCTGTATATCAAGTTTAAAGCAGCCTTCCAGGAGTGTAACAGCCTCGTGGACATCAACAAACACAGAAAAACACCTCTCAGACAGCAGGAAAGACAAAGTTGATGGCATCGTAACACCAACACAGGCTGCACGTAGCTGAGCTCAAACATATGAATTATTCTTCTCAGTAAAAATTTATGAACTTGTGTGTGTGCTGGGGTATGCTTTTGTTTTTATGAGTGTGTGTGTGTGTGTGTGCGTGCACGGATCCGTGAGAAGTCAGAAACTTTTGGACAGCCACGGTGTTGTTGCCTGTGTGCTGAGACTGAAAGAACCAGACTGGTACAGATGTTTTAGTAACTATTTATTCAACAAATTCCATTATGTACATGAGAATGACCCTCTAAATTAAAGATAATGAAACCAAACAGATAATGGGAGAAAAACACCTCCATTATGGTGCTATATATTGAATTACACTCTCGTTGTACAGCTCAGTTACCAAACCCCTTGTTTTACCATGATACATCAAACGTTGAACTAATGTGTCCAACTCTAAGCCTTTATTTGATCTTCACTGAGGACATTTCATATTTTGTGACAGTGCATTTCAAACCCCTTTCATCTTAAACCGATGACTGCTGCTAAGATGAAACAAAAACAAAAAAAAAAGAAATGCTTACACACAATAAGCTAAAGTCTTTATGTTACATCGCAAAACATGACACAGCTTCAACTACAACGAAAGAGTTTTGATGATTTGCAGCATCTTTCTGAATCTCTGTTCCTCTGATTAGTCACAATCAAAACAAATTGCCAAATCTTTTAGGTGATGTGCATTAGTCTTCAAATGTTTCCCTCTTAAACTCATGTTGATGAGGTTTCTCTTTAACAACAGAGCTTTAACAGGCTGAACAGAAGTGTAACTAATAATATATAAAACAAATCTTTAAAAAACAAACAAATGCAGCTCCAAATCCTTACAGAGTCACCTCAAAGCAGTTCCTTTCCTCCCCCCTGTAAGAAAAATGACCCCAGGACCGTAGGTGTAAACAATTCTCCGCTCCTTTAAGGGTACAGTAAGTAAAGACATAAAACCGTGGTTTGCCAAAGACTAATGTACATCACCGTGTCACAAAGATGAGAGGGAAACCGACCAATCACTGAATCATTTATTAACACTGATACACACGGTGACAGCACACAGGGAGAAGTGTAAGTCCTGGTCATATCCCCATTTGAAAATGAAAAACAAAGGTCAAAGGTCTGGGAACCAAAAAAAAAAAAAACAATTCCTGAGATGCAAAACAAAACGGAGACAAACAACAAAAAGACAAAAATGAAATGAAAAGTCACAGACAGTCGAATCAGACGATGACAGTTTTGGTAATTTGAAGAGTGGACGATCGGTTTTAAATTGATTTTGCTGAAGAACAATAACATGTGCCACAGCTGAACTGTACAGCAGATATATATACGAAGTGTCAGCAGGGAGAGCAGTGAAACCAGGGATGTTATTAAAGGAACCTCAGGTGATGAAAACACTGATATCCATCACTGTGCAGTCAGAAACACTGAGCTCCACGGGCCTCTGATTTCCTGACATGGGGAACCATCCCAGCCAGTGTAGCTGAGGCAAATCTTTTGTGCAGCACAGTGTGATTTAATGACTGCACTAGCATGAATGCAACCCAAGTCAACAGAATCTGGACTAGCCTCAGTAATCACGTCCGCTCGTGGAGTTTTTAAACAGCAGCACACAGGCGTTGGAATAAAAAAAAGAAAACGTTAGAAGGCACGGGAAAAACAAAAAACAGCTGCGTAAAAAGGACGTTCCTGTGACTATTTTATTAGACAAAATGAAATTTGATTTCCATCTTAATTATTGATTATATCAGTTACAGTACACATTTTTATTTTATTGTCTCTGGCAAATCTCCAGTCCACAAGAACACATGAATTAAAGTTATGAAATTAGAGACCGGTGATGGTGATACGTATGAAACCACAGGATTAAAGCTTAGTTTGAATTCGCAACAGCACGACAGCAGGTTTGAACACTGACTGCATGGCATCACAGAGCAACAGTGGATCATGTCATGGTACATGGTAGTACGTTTCCAGGATGGTAAAGTATTCAATCCTTTTTAGTTTGAATTAGCTCATTAATGTAGAGAAGAAACAAATATTTACATCATCAAGTTTTTAAAATGTGAAATCACAAACAAAAATCACACTGTGCTCCTACTCTACAGAGGACTCCTCAACTCTGGGGACGTTCCTTCAGATCCAAACTTAGACAAAAAGACTGGAAACAAAGTTAAAAAAAGACACAAACACTATTGTGTCAAATCTGTTTTCACAACTGAGCGAAGGGCAGTGAACTACAGTCTGAAGTGTGTCACTGTGTCGAGGGCATCGCTGTGTGTGTGGACTCACACAAAACATGAGGATTGATCAAATGATTCCTAACTTGTAATTCCCCACGGAGCTGTTCCAGTTAAACTCCAGCCCAGGACCTTACATCCTGACCTCATTTGCATAATGTTTTCTATTGGCCATTGGAACAGACAGCGCCGGGTTCTTGATTTTATTGTCCTTGGTAATAATTTGCTCCCTCAAGATGCAAGTGCCTGGCATTTCAGACTTAAATTTTAGGCCAAAGTGTTTATTATAGACACAGAGGAGGAAATGGTCCAAGCTGTGGATGAGAGTATTTGTTTACTTGTATTTTGTTTACGCTCTATGTAAAGAAAGTCATGGGTATCTTCAACCCTTCTTCATTTTTATCATCAGTTTTCCTGAAAGACAATTTTCTTCTTTAGGATTTAATGGCACTGTTTTCATATTAAATTACAATATATTCCTGTTTAGAGGAAAATAGAAGACAGCACACACTTTGTGTCAACGAAAGGTGAAGTTGAGTGAAGCGTTAAGAAGCAAATATTCATGGGCAGATTATAGACAGAGCACAAAGTGACTTTTGTGTTTTTTGTACGTCTGGCTACAACTTTGCTTAAGCTTTGCGTTGTGTGAACGGCTAGTTTTGAGAGATGGAAACAACTATTGTTTGAGGAGGAGTGATCACGTCACTGATGGACATATCATCTCAAATCATGAACGGACGCCTGGCACAAGATGGAAAGGATTGGACTGAAATGAGGGCAGTCTTATAAAAGTGCTGAGCAGTTTGTCCTGGTGTGACGAACATTTTATTTAACTAAATACTGACAACTGACATCTTGTTGCTGAAATAAAATATCACAAAAAGAAAATCCAGTGACTTTATGAAAAAGGATTTCTGAGCTTCACTGTTTGCAACCATCCCTGTTGTTTGTGATGTTTTTTAGGTAAAGTAGTTTATGTTATGCTTAATGTATTTCAAGTTTAAATAGTTTAATACTTAACACTCTAGCATTCAATCTTAACAGAATCAAAGTTCATGCCCCAGAATCTAGAAGTTTTTCTTCTCCAAAGTCAATGCAAACACATGACCCACACTGTAATGATCTCATCCTTTAACCGTTCAAATTTTAAATAAATTAATGATGATAAAGAACCAAACAGAACATGCCAGTGTGTATTACCAAACTTTAGTTCTCACACATTATATACATGCCTTGTGCCAAAACGCAATACATTAAAAAAACTCTAAAAAAACCAAAACAATGGATGATGAAAGGAATAAAAATGGGGAGAAAGCAAAGTAAAAACTGATCTTGGTGCTAATATACAAATCTTGTAGGAATAAATGAATTCAGAATCCAAAACAGCAATTTTCACAATCAACTACATTTTTGCAGACACAATATACAGCAGGGAGCTTCAAACCATTTCAAACAAACATTTTAATTATAAAATTAAAATAAAAAAAGTCATGTATTAGCTTACATTTGAATAAGAAATACATCGTATATTTCCCCCAGAACTAAATCTAAGACAGGCTTGTTATTTTCCCATCGTTATTTGAAAGATGATCTCTTATTTGGAAAAGTAATAAAATTACCTACTTAGTTCATTTTGTGCTTCTTTTTTCAGTTTTTAAAGTAGGAAAAATCCCGGCACTAACATTCTACAACCCTACGTGTTTTGCTTGAATGAGATTTGTCCGTGTGTCTAAGAGAAGGGCAGGAAGAGGAACAGAACCGTGTGATGTAATAAAATGAACGACTTTTCACTGCGTAGAGCCTGGACTCCAGGCTTTAGAGGTGGGATTAGCTGAGATGAAGTAGCGACGGACAGATTTAAGTTTCCTGTACATACTGTAACTGTCGGTGTTTTTATTTGTTTACTGGATCAGTTTACATTTCACAGGGTTCTTCAGGCTTTTAAGAAAAATCACATAAATATAAACAAAACCTTCAACGTGAGAAGCTAAAAATGACATCACTACGATTTTATTTTCTTTACAGCTTTTAGAGAGAGAAGATTGACAGTAGCAAACACCTGAACCTTTAATGGGGGGAAAAAACAACTATTATACGCCGTCATTAGGACAACAGAGGAGTTGTGTTCTGCTGAACTGCAGCCTGAACAGTGCAGAGATATATAGACAAAATTACATATGAGCAGCAGGTTCAGCAAATGGGTTTATAGAACTGGTCCAGTGGACTCGATGGAATGCTTGGTCTAGTGTCTTTCGTATATTTTTGGTGCGTATTCTCTGCTCTAATCGATACCAACGATACCTTTTATTAACCCTATCCTAATAATGAAACTCATAATATACACATCTGACAAATCATACTACAGTGTCACACAAAAACCTTCTTCTTATCTTACAAGGGTCAACTATTTAGTTACAAGTCTTTGTAGAGGGGGCGGGTCGGGGGGGTGGAGCATCTAAAAGTACCATAATTAGTGTGATAGATATGTATAAGGCGTAAACAGCACAGATCTTCATGAAACCAAACGGACCCCGTGTGTAAGCGATGAACTGAAACACCCACCTAAGAAGCATCTACACTGCTACTGACAGACGATACAGGAAGGCAATGGCAGAAGTTCAATGGCGTCTGTATTATTAGGCACCGTGTTGACGGGAAACATGATATGTGTGTGGACATGTGAGAATAAAAGGGGACAGGAGTGTGTGTTTGTGTGTGTGTGTGTGTGTGTGCTGGAGAGGAAACCAGAGAGAAGAATTAACGAGCGGACGTGTGAGAAGCAGTCACGACAGGGATTTTCAGAAACGCTTCGGCGGCCGACGCTAGCTGCGTCTCAAAACGGAAACAAAAGACAAAAGGAAAAAAAAAACGGCTGTAAATGAGAGAAACGGCCCCAACAGAAGGCAATAGGAGAAACTTGGGAAACTTCTCTATCTGTAGACTGCCTGCAGGTTTCTTGTAGTCACGACGGGGCAGTGGTCAGAGGTGGAGAAGAGAGGGTGAAGCAGGAGGAGAGGGGGGAAAAGAGATACAGAGACCCGAGGAGGGGAGGAGGAGGGAGGGGGGGAGGAGAGCGGCACAGCCCCCTCAGCAGTCTAAATGAAGTATTCTTTCTTTTCCTCTGCGTGTGCGTGGTTGCCGTCAGCATTGATGATGGCTGTGTCGGCGTCGGGCGCATCGTCCGCTCCTTTGGCTTCGTTTGTCAGGTATGTTCCTGCGGAAATGAAAAACAAACACCTTTATCAAGGAAAACAAATACGGAGCAGCTCGGCGTGGCGTTTGCTGCCAGAGGTTATAAACACACACCTGAAAACAACATGGCTAATACTACATTATTCATATACAGACTTGAGGAGAAGCTGCGATGATGCAGACTATGTTAATGAAGCAGGGAGGAGGTGAGTGAAACCTGCTCTCTTAGTATTCTGGTGTAAGTGTTGCACTTACAACAAAAAATATGACACGACTCTCGGCATAAGATGATTATATTTTGCTCGTCATATTGTGTCTTTGAAAATAAGTGTAATTTCCACAAATATGCAGCACATACGTTGGTGTGAGGTCGAGTAACACATGAATAATCATGTCATCTCTCCTTTTGGTCGCAGACGTGCGGTATATTTATAACTTGCCGTTCAAGGTTATGGCTGTAATGTCTAATGGGACAAGTCTGCCGTGCTTCACTGGTTTCATAAACCTTGAGAGTCGTAGGTCAGATCCTCTATGGTTTTACCTTTATGCCTGGCCAGGTATCTCCCCAGAACAATGATTAAACACAGGGTAACAAAGACCACCACTGCCACCACTCCTCCAATCAGGGCATGGTCTGTGCCGTGCTGCCCCAGAGCGTTGGGATCTGAGGAGAGACACACACAAAAAAATCCTCTATGGTTTTACCTTTATGCCTGGCCAGGTATCTCCCCAGAACAATGATTAAACACAGGGTAACAAAGACCACCACTGCCACCACTCCTCCAATCAGGGCATGGTCTGTGCCGTGCTGCCCCAGAGCGTTGGGATCTGAGGAGAGACACAAAAAAAAAAAGAGATAAAGATGAAGGAAGTGGCTGCAAAAGTGAGGTGAGGAGAGTGAGGGAAGAGCAGCAGCCGAAGGCAGACAACAAGAAACAGAGCAAGGAGGAAGGACTAGATTATTCCCAGCTTGTTCCTGATCTAATGATTGTTTTGAGCTGCTGTCAAACCTCTTTTTCTTTCACATTATGCCGTCGGAGCAGAACTGCCCGGCTCTCTGAGAATAATAATGGAGGAAGGGAGTGAGGAAGAAAGACGGACAGGCACAACGTTCACACAAAGACCAGCTACGGGCGAGCACACGTTCACCCATGTAAAATGAAAGGAGGAAATAAAAAGCAGAAGTGGGAAAGAAGAATAATGAACGACGGAGAACTGGGAAGAGTCCACGTGAACCGTCCCCTACATGCAAATGTGGGTTAGAGTGAAGAAGTGACACGGAGTAAATAAACCATCGAGTGGAAAATGAACACAAGGAAGATTAATCGTGTTAGCTGGTCGGCACATCGCCCCCACCTGTCTGGAAAAGGAGCAACAAGATTAAAAAAAGTCACTTGTTTTATCAGCGTCCTCTCGCCTTGTTGGAGTTTATTTCAGGTCACTGTGACAGTGACGACCGTCAGACCCACTGTGGACGGAGTTGACAGTGACAGCAGTGGGTTGGGGGGGGCTGGGAGGAGGGGGGGTGACTAATGTTATAAGATGTATTATTCATATCAGTGTATGACAGTGAAAAATTAGCACCCATCTCATTATCTTCCTATGAGTGTCAGGGCAGTGCCACATAAGTCTGTCACTGTGTGTGTGTGTGTGTGTGTATATACAGTATGTGGGTGTACAGTAGGTAAAAAAAAGGCAGCGTGAGAGCACGTTTAAGAGTTCGTTACAAAGTCATTTCCATAGACCAAGGGTTTCAGAGTGTGAAGTGTGCTTCCCCTGGGGGGCGCCAGAGCACTTTAGCAGAGGTCTGAATACGGAAAAAGACTGGTGGTTGTCGTCTCACACAAATCGTACGTTCCCAAAACATTTTTTGTTTATTACATTCTTCTCACCAGAAAAAAAAGAACAGATTATCACTGACTCACTCACATACCATGGAGAACACATCTTTATTTTCTGTGTTGAAACATAACATTAGATGTCTGAACTAGCTAGCTAACTTGTTAAAAACTAGTTTAAAACAAAAACACTACCAACTTTTCTACAAAGTCTTTTTATATGGTTTTTTTTTATAGTAGTGCGGTTTGGAGAAACAGCCCATCTACTTTAATGACATGTATTCTCTTCAGCACCGTCCGTTTCTTTCTGACTCCGTCCATGTGACCAAATGGAACAGCTGGTTTTCGCCTGTGCACCGTGGTCTGAGTGACCAGACTGTCACACTCCACTGCGCCCAAGTGGACAGACACACTCTCACAGCCGGGCACATACATACAGACATGCGTAGCGTGGGTTCAGTGTGCTGCCGTTGTGCTTGGTCAGTGAAGCGGACAGTGGAGGAATGTACCCATCGTGCTGTCCAGCGGGGTGAGGACTGAGGCATTTTTAGTTACACACATGGCTGTGTCTCCTCACCTCTATCTGTCAGGACGGTGAGGAGTCAAACACTCACTCTGTCTGCTCTGACTGCTGGACTTGGGTTTGTTTTTTTTGGGGTTTTTTTTACAGCCCACTTCTGGCATAAACATGTCATGAGCATACGGTCAGGTGTCAGCCTGGTGAACACTGCACACTTTGCCTATTCATAATTCTGGTGTCATGTCCAATGGATTGACCTGTAAGCCGGAGCCCCTGGACACTAGCATGCTGCACTGGCTCCGACCTTGAAGTGATGCAGGGCATAAACTGTAAAAGATGGCAACATTACAGCCATTCTGACCATAAGTCAGAGGAAAAGACGACGAAAAAAGTGGCTACATCATAACAGTTAATCTTCTCACTGCTATTTGTTTGATAAATGTGGTTCCTGACTTTAAAAAAACACATTTGCACTCACTTTTGCACTTAAAGCTCAACCATAAAAACAAGTATTGACTGATTTACTAGTGGAGTGGAACATGTTTGTTGCAGAAAGATGTACTTTACTGCAGCGGTGAACTGAGCAGTTAATGCGGTTATTTTATTATTTTTCCTCTTAGCATAAATATTTGGTAAATCACCTTTACAGCTGTAAAAGTAGAAGAGATGAACCTGTGGCTGACGATGATGATGATGATGGGAAGTAAACTGAAAATAAGTAAACACAAAACATTGCTCAATAAATCCCCTAAAAAAGTGTATTTTATTACATTTTTATCTGAGCTAATTATGTTCAAAAAATTATATTTGTTAAAGGTAATAAGAATCACTAGAGTCACTGCAGTAACTACAGTCACGACTACTTCAGTAAACTTCTGAAGTTCTGCTTGTAATTGCCATTAGGGGGACTTTGAAATAGGCGTTACGCAAGGATTCGTTCTGGGACCCATGCTGTTCAGACGTCCAAACAGATCAGAAAAATCTGAACGTAAGAAAAGGCTTGACTACTACCACCCTTTGTCAGTACATACAGTTTATAAATAAGATAATATAATAAAGATAATACCACTAAGCGTAAGCTTGTGTTATGAGAAAGGAAATAACAAAAAACAAGTTAATACGAATAAACTCTGAAAATCAAAAAAGAAACAGATGAGAACAAAAATGCTAACATTTCAGATATAGCAAGATGGCAGAAAAGAGAGACAGCTGAGAGGAGAGGGATATATTTTTATGGCCCTAGAACACATTATCTTTTAATAAGGGTGCATACATTCTTCTCAGGATGATATAATATGTAAGCGTGGGAGAACAAACTCCTCTTTTTAATATTTATGACACTCTCCGTGTCGTCTGGCTGTGCAAATTGGGCTTGTTTAATAAATTAAAAGGGTTTAAGGCTTTTATGAGCCACTGCTCCGTTGGACCGGAGTAAAAGTAATACTTCCCTTTTCAACTGCCCCACAAAATTCTTAGTGGATTTATTTCACATTTTCTGATTCCCAGAAAAGGCCAGACGTTCTATTATCAATTATCTGATCAGAATCAATAACCCTAATCGGATCACGGCGTCTTTTAAAAGCACGCCAAGTTGTACACGTCACAATAGAGGCTTAAAAGGAGGTTCAAAGATTGAACATTAGTGGTTTGAGGGAAACTTAGAAATTAAATTGAGCCAATGACTCTGCATGAACGAACTCATGAACTTGAAACCACTTCCCTAATATAATAACAAAGCTCTTCCAGGTCAGACACGTCTGGGGGGTTTGCACAAAAGTAGAATAACGATATCCAGGATAACTGGATCTTGGGTTGGTAAAGACTGAGAGGTGGCTTCAGTCCTGAGGTAGATGAGTTTTATTTTATTTTATTTAAAAGTGTCCAACTTTACTCACTTAGTTTGAAAACTATTATTTATTTACTCCAAATAATGTATTTGCATTTGTTAATGCAACAGTGGCAAGGACAACAATGAAATACTCTTCCACTAGTTACCAGCAGGTGGCTATAAAAAAAAGTTAGTCAGAGCTGTTGAAGAAGAACTGTGTGTGCGTCTTTCTTCAATTTCTGCAAGTATTTCAGTGTTGTGTTCAACCAAACAAGCCCAGGTTTAATACTGTGTACGTGAACTGAATCAAAAAGAAACACTGCTCATTATAAGGAATGGGACGGGACGTACTGTAACTTCATTTTCACAACTCTGCTCCAGTTACTTAATAAGACTGCATTGCTGATTTTTTTTATTTTTTTTAAACTATTTTATTACACATTTCTCCCCCTGCCTGCATTAATCTGTTGGTTAGCTTTTAAGAACAGTTTTGCATGAAAAGACTAGCCAGACAGAAATAAATGATGGTGTGGGAGGCAGGCTAACACAATGACACACAAAGGAAAAAATGAATAAAATGGAGAAAGCCAAGAAAATAAAAAGAAAGTTCACTGTGAGTGTGTGTGTGTGTGTGTGTGTACCGTGTATGTGTGCATGTGGGCTACTTTGAAATAGCTGAAAGTGTGTGCAGCCATTGAGCGCTAATGAATAGAACTGCTATTCCATGTAATTCATAACTGTAGCCCCAGGATCTAATGATTTCTCTTCTTCTGCTCTACACTTAATTCTAAATTGTTGCAATAACTCTTCCCCAAAGTGAGTTAATGTGGCAGCTCATCAATAAGTGTAGCTCTGCAATAAGTGGAAAGACCTTTGCATTATGTTTTAATTTCACCTGTGCTCCTCATCTTTATGGTCTAAAGAATGAGGAATGGGAGGGAAAGTGGAGGACGGTCAACAGTCTTCAATATTTAACCATCCACTGGAGAAACGCTGCTCCTGAACGCAGCTCTCATCCAGCTGACCTGAACATTTGCCCTCCAGGAAATATGTCTGCTGCTCATCACGTGGCCTTAACCTCTCTCCTCATTTTAAAACAAGATCAATATCAATGGGATAAAGCAGTCACAAATCCCTTCAAGGAATGAAAGTGTTCCATTCCCTTATTGAGTTTCCACAAAATTCACTTTGTCCTCAGCCTAAAGTGGCTGGAACATGTGATGTTGGGCTAAAAAAAAAACATAAATGGTGTGATAAGTGCCATCTGAATGGCTGATTAATTTGCAAATGAGTCAGTTATGTATCATCACTACACAATGATCTGGAGCATGAAATTAGGAACAGAGTAATCTGTCAACCCAACTACATCCTCAGATGAAATCAATTGATTTTTACTGCTTTTTAGACTCAAGATTTCAGTACTGTCTACTACTTTTGTTATATTCTCGGTGTACTTGTTTAGATTCCATGAATCCTACCAGTTTGTTTATATTTTATAAACCTTGGAGCTGAAAAACAGTTTTGAGTCCAACACATTATTATTTTTATTTTTTTCATATTTGTTAATAAAGTCAACTGCTTCAGTATTTTGTTAAGCACATCCCTGGATCTTGTGGAAATGTAATCATCTTTTCAGGGGTAA